CTGGTTCATCAAAATCCATTGAAGACACTGCTTTGGAATGTATAAAGTTTTTGGAGCTGAAAGGCAGCAAGTACTGAAGTTAAAAATGGATTTCTGAAGAGACCTCTAAAGATTATCAAGCAGTACTGGTTTAAATCCCTGCATACGTGTTGATCATTTTTCTGCAGGTTAGTCACTTTGGATCATGTAGACAATATTGAGCTTGAGCCTGAGAATATCTAGTACAAGCATTTTCTATTAAATTAAGATTAGGCTTTAGGCTCTAAATTCAGTTTTTAATTTTAAAAAGATTAAGGGACAGATTCTATTCTTGACTGCATAATGAATTTTATATAAATGGAGGCGGAACTTGGCCCAGTAGAACTGTAGCTCATGAGACTATTTCACAATTCAAATGTTGTGTGGAACGTAATGGCATCCAGTCAGTTTTAAATCAGTAAATACTGCCCTGAGTAATGTGCAGAGAAGTGTTGCTGCTGAGTAGCTCACCCAGTGCTCTGACCTGGTTGGCCAGGTTCTTGCACACCCGTTATCTATAACTTGATTACACCCCATGTAAGTTAGTGCTTGCTAACGTTGGTACTTTGTCTGTTAATACTTGTAGTTTAACTGTGACTTCCAATAAATTATTGTTTCTGAGGTTACAAATCCATCGTAAATTTTATTACGGTATCTCTGGCATGGCTTCAGACATTGTTCCCAAAGTCGGCTTTGTGGTGGTGCTGGGGACTGTTGGCCTTTTACAGACGTGCCGTGACCTCCAGCTGGCAAGTTCTATCCAAGACTCTTCTGCTAGTGTTTAATAAATGCAGAACAGTCAGACTTTTGGATCCACTCCCTCATGGATGAAAAGGGAGCATGGTTTCAGAGGTTTTATTGTGGTGTGTCTGCTTTGTTTTCTGCTCTTATTTTTGTTCAAAAGAGCCTTGTTCAGAAAAACGAGTGTGATCATCAGCAGTTAAGATCATAACAACATGAATGGAGGGGGTGTTAAAAGAATCAAAGCATGTGAACTGTAGCGGTGCCATTTTATCTTCCTGTGGTCTCACAAGTGGTAGAGCAAAAGCTCTAAGGGGCTGGTCCAATTCCCACTTAAACACATCTTCAGTGTCACCTGTCACCAAAATCAAAGCTTTCACCAGTGATTTATAGGTTACAGGGTGCCCGCACATTTTGTATATGGCTTGTCTAGCAAGTGGAGCCGAAAAGACACCAAATGAAGTCCTGGAAGCCCTCTGGGTATACCAGCACCATGAGTCACCCGGCCTCCCAACAAGACTGGTTTAGCTTGGGTAGAGCCATGCATTGAACCAAAAAGCATGAGTTAAATCAGTCACAGTCTCCTGCGTCTGTAGGCCGTACAACACAGGGATACCTTTGCACTAGCCATTAAAAAAGTAAAGCCAGTCCTGAGCTTTGGTGCGGGAGGGGAGACTGTAGCTCCAGATCCTGATTTTTGGATTGTTATTTTCATCAGGTGGGTCAGGTGCAATACCTCAGTGGTGGGAGTGAGGACAGCAGCCTCAGGGCAGCCCTCTCCAGAGCATGAGGTCCTGCTTGCCTCCATCCTCCTGGGCCAGCTGGCAATGGCAGGGTCCAGGCTGCCTGTGTGGACCAGGAGCTTCGCTCTCTCGAGTCCTGCCCACACTTGCTGTGTGCAGATGATGGCAGACAAGCTCTGCAGCGGGCAAGCCGGTCTCTGTGGTCCCAGATTTTAGTGAACAGAGACACCTAATGTTCAGCTCTGAACACATGCATGGCTCGTCGGGGAGAAGGAGCCCACACTCTGCCTGCACCAGGCATTTCTTGGCAGCTATGTGGGTGGCTTCCTATGGAGCAGTTTGTAACTTGCCTTTAGGAACACTTACACGCTGAAGTCAGCTGTGGAGCTACCACAGGGGAGAACGTTTTTTGAGATATTATTTTTTGAGATATTTGGGTTCCACCTTCTGCCCCCAACACCCAGACCTTGGCCACTGTAGCACAAAGCACTGGAAAGCCAGGCTGTGTTCGGGACACAGCAGCACACCTGGGGGGCGTGTGTAGGGGGAGAGCACCTTTTTGACACAGACCAAGGACTGTATTTTACCAACATCTGTGCAACTGCTAAAAGAAGGAGATTAATGTTTTTGGTGTGCAAACTTTGCTTAAACTCTCATTATTTCCTTAACTGTTAAATTTTTTTTGGTGGGTATGATGCATCTTTACACGCAGCACCTTTTACAGCTGCTTTCCCATGAGCCTTCTTCAGCTGCACACACCTTTGTGAAAGCCTCTACACGGAGAGGAGTGGGTGCATTTAACAAGCAGCCCTGTCCCACGGTTGTGGACGATGGCTCACCTGTGCCACTGCATGTCACTGCCTCGGTTTCCCCAGCAGTCACTGAAGCAGAGGACAGGAGGGAGGCGCAGGTGCTCCCAGCCCCACGCAAGTACAGGTGTGATTACCTGAAAACAGCTGTTGCTGTCATACTGAAATTCTCACAGACATCAACCCCTGTTATTTTCTAAGCCTGAAGACATCCACTGCTTCTTCTCAGAGGACAACAGAGCACCAGGCAGGTGCAGGAGCCTGACAAGTGGCTTTATGGTGCAAGATGGATCAAAGCAACAGGTACGGAGCTCAGGGTTGTGTTATTGGGCGATGGTTGTTGGGCTCACTGACCGCCACTACGAGGACTGTGTGACTACGCTGGGCTGGGCAAGTGGGCAAGCCCAGAGTACCTGCTTGTGCTCCTCCACTGCTTCTTGTGGGATTTCTTTTGCCACAACTTAGAGTCCTCTGAGCCATCCAGCTTTTAGCAGTCCCTTTGGCCGAGCAGAAGTGACAGCGATCAGCTGTGGGAACACTGAATTTTCTTTTCCCCCAAGTTTTATGTGGTGTACGACAGAACTCTGCTGTCTGGCACAGGGATGCTTCTGACTCAGCCTGCAGGAGCACACCTGGGTGACCACCCCTTGCTCAGAACCACAGCAGCCGTTTCCTTGGGAGGAGAGGCTGTGCTCTGAAACCGCAGCTCACACACCGCACTGCCTACCCCAGCCCCTCCTCAGGGAAGTACTGGGACCTCTGGGAAAGTCGAGGTGCATGGCTTCAAGTTCCCAAGGGTAAAAGAACAGGCTACAAGATCAAATGTTTTTTAAAGACAGGAAATTATCTAAAAAGATACTTTTTAAGCAGAATACTTACTCATATAATGGAAACACTTTTTAAGCTGGGATCAATGTCTGCTGCAGAATGTCCACGGTACAGTGATACTGCTTTCAGCTTTAATCCAATAGTTAATTAAAACTCTGTAATTAATCCTTGATTTCATCCACTCCTCTTCCCCATTTTGATGCTCTGATCATTATACACTGAATATGCATGGCCTACCTTAGTCAGCTCACGGGCCTTTGTATCCAGAGCACAATCAGGAAACCTAAAATAAGAGCCCCAACTATTGTATTCTTTAGCAGTGTTTTATTAAAAATAATTAACATGTACAAATACAAAATACATCCATGCCATTAAATTCCTCTATTTGTTTTTTGCTGTAAGAAAAACCACATTCCAAACCAATGGTTTCAGGGACTGGTCCTAAGCACCTCAGTGCTGAGCTCAGGTTTTCTGTCTGGGGTTCCTTCTGTGTCCTCACCAAGGCAACGTGTGGACCGTTAGGACTCTCTGATTGAAAGGGTAAATTAATTCTTCAGAAGCCACAGCTTTATTACTGTGTAGCTTTCCCTCAAGGACTGTTGCTTGTTACTGTGCAACACAAGCTGCAGTTTTTAGAAGGCACATTTCAGATTTTTGGGCCACGGAAGGGCCATATTTGTCTTTGTCCGACGCCAACCACCACTGCACGGCGCTTGCAACTGCACCCAGGCGCCAGTTCAGAAGGAAGCACCCCACGTGAGATGAGTTTGGGGTGCACGTCTCCAGAAATATCCCGCTTCCTTGTTCACCTTCAGTGAGGTGCTCAGACCCAAGTGACAGCTCACCAACGCTGGCTGCGCAGGGTGGATCGCTACAGGACTTGGAGAACTGCTGCAGAAACTCCGTTTTGAGTTGGTTTTGGGACTTTAATACAGATCAATTTTTCAGGATGCGGTCTCCATTTAAAAATAAATAACTCTGCCAGTAAGCAGGCGTGTGTAATACAAAGCAAAGTTTACTCCCAACTCACCAAGGGTCAGAAACATTGCAGATTTTTGAGCTCTTTCCTTTAAAGAAAGTAAAGAAACTAAGCAAGCTGCTCACTTGCACTCTAACCCTTGTCAAGTACATTCCACCACGGGTATCAGAGGAAGAGCATGATTCAGCTTCTATTAGTGAACAGAACAACCCAACATGCATAATCGTGTTAGTGCCTGTATTTATTTCACCTGATCTACCACTAGTAGTGGTAACTGCACCCTCAAGCCCTACAGGCTGTAGGGCTTACCTGGTAACGTCACCAGAAGCCTGCTCGTGCTGACATATACACAGCAAAAAATCAATCCTTTCTAAAAAGCAGAAGGTGAAGCCGATTGGAACCCAAGGCTCTTTAGAAAATACCCAAAATCCCTTTCACAGAAATGCTTTTAATAAGATCAGCATGATTGTGTTCATCTGGCATGTAAAAGCAGCACTCCTAAGGTAACAACACTGACTCCAAATCCAGCGGTCACAGTCCCCCCGATACAATGCACACACCCTGCTCGGTTACTGCCACCAGATCTCCCTCACGAGAAGGAGACAATTTCCCTCTTCAGAGAGCTGGCGGTGGGAGGGAATGTGAATCAGAGGGAATTCTGCATTTCAGCACAGATGTATAAAAGTAAAATACCCACTTGCCACACTTCTCTCATTCCCAGCTTTTCAGGATCTAGGTGAGCCTGGGAGGCAAACTGGACAAATGAAACAGGGACAGAAGTTTAATGTAGCCTGATTTTCTGGAAAGAGCAACCCGCTCTGTGCAGTCATTGCTCTGGGGTGGAGCAGCGCAGGCTGGCTGTGCCTTAGAGCCACGAGGCCTTCAAAAACTGACAACTTTGGGTACTTTCACTTTGGGTTTTTCCAGCTTTGGTGTTTCTGTAATTTCTTCATAATCTGCGCTCATTCCAGTGGCCCATCGCCCAACCGTAACCTGATCTGCAAAGCGAGAGACGAGAGATTATGGAAACGCTAAGCACTGCCAAACTTCCACGTGTGCAGAAGATTCGGCCTCCAAGGGCCTGTCATTAATTAATAAAAGCTCTGCCTGTTTAGTGCGAGCTCTGAAGCCAACTCCCCTTACACCACATAACTGGGTTTTTTTTCAAATTGTGTTTTGTAAATTCCCTTTCTTCCCCCATTTTACAGGAAAGATCTTCTCTACTATACAGATGAAAAAAGTCTGAGGAAGCGCAACAGAGCAAAATTTACATTTCTCAGCTCACACCTCTGCATATAATCACCATCCTTTTGCTGAGAAAGCCACACCCCTTCCCTGGAGAAAACAGTTAACCAACTGGTATTTATTTTCTGAATGACAATCTAACGTTGAGAGCAACAAATCGAACCACACCAAGAATATCATACGGTTAAATCGATGTCTGCTTGGATTAACTGCTGCACATTAAAGCAGGCTGCGTAACTCCACCTGAAGAAATCAGCAGCTGTAGTGCCTCAGCTTCTTTGCCAGCTGCCTCCCTGCAGTCTGAACATACTCTGCACGATGAAAACTGATTTAAGAGAATGTTACAGTTCTTACCAACGGCCTCACAGTTCCAAATAATTCAGCTACTTTAACCAGAAATACTAGTTTTGAAACATCAGCCTTAAGATTGAGATATCCCTTGTGAAATTATACAGCAGTTGTCAGTCTTCATATGGATGTAAAACTTCCCAAAATAATGGTAGAAAAAAATTCCAGTTATGCTTCATGTAAGATTTAGAGCTGCCAGAGAGCAGAGACCTGCACGGGACTGCACCAAGGACTGAACTCTGCTGATCTCCGCTAACAGCCGGCCCAGCTCCAAGCAATGCTGCTCCCCACACACGTTTCTTCTCTCCTGCTGTGTCTGTACAGGTTTCTGACTTACAGAAAGTGTTTCTGCCCTAAATGTGGCGCGCTGAAATCCAACTGGGCCTACGATACAGGCTTGCAACACGGCAGCCATTTGAGGTGGGTGCTGCCCAACAATGTGCTACAGCTGATGAGTTTGGGGGAAATTTCTAAGTCTTTTTGTGTCAGAAACTTCTGTCATACCAGTCAGGATTCCATCTCATTTGTTTTAAACTAGCAGAGCAGCGCGCATTCCAAATGTTACATGTGGTCTCAAATGCAACAATATCATATATAAGACCAGGTACAGAAAGCGGCTGAAGTGCAGGCTTCTACTGCCTCCATCAATATTTCTTACATAAATTCCACAAAAGTGGCATTTTATTAACCTGAAAGTTCTCTAAACCACACAAAGTAGAAAAAGGCACAAACGTGTCAGTAACAGAATCACTCTTCAAACCCTGGCTCGATGCTTTTGCCTTCCACAGCACAGCTTTTTTGTACACAATGTAATTTTTCCCACCCACACAGATAACTGAAGAACATGTAATTAAGCAGCTTATTAGCTGGAGAATTGAGCTGGACAGATCTCCTGTCTCCTCTTTCTCTCCTGTCTTGCACGACTTCAACACCTGCCAGCACACAGGGCTTTTACAAGCTGACAGTACCACCACCCTGATACTCAGTTCTGCTGAAGCTGGTGAATCCTGGATAACAAACACACATCAGCTCAAACCATCTTCAGAAACCCACAAGCTGCTTTTTTCTTTTTTTTCTAAACAGAAAGTTCAAGTTTTGCCTTGAAACTTCATGCCTCCTCCACATACCCCTTAACACAAGCACTCATTCCCAAGGAACGTTTGCAAGTTCTCTTCTCAAGCCCCTTTTTCATGACCAAAGTCAGGCAAAGCAGTGAATAAACATCTCTCAGCTGTGCACTCAAGCTCCACCTGAGCACCCCCCTGCATCTCACCTGCATTCTGTTTTTCTGGACAGTCTTTTTTGAAGTGCTCAACAGAGCCACAAAGTTTGCAGCCACCTCCTGTTACGAGAAAAGTTGTTATTCATCGGGGGAAAAAAACCAAAACAGAACAAAAAAAACCACTCAACAACAAAAAACACCAAACTCCCCCTACGCTTTTTTTGCTCTTATATGTACATTGAAAAAAAAAATCTCATTTTATCATAGAATCATAGACTGGTTTGGGTGGGAAGGGACCTTAAAGCTCATCCAGTTCCAACCCCCCTGCCATCAGCAGGGACACCTTCCACTAGACCAGGTTGCTCAAAGCCTCATCCAGCCTGGCCTTGAACACTTCCAGGGAGGAGCAGCCACAGCTTCCTTGGGCAACCTGTTCCTGTGTTGCCCAAGGAAGTTGTAGATGACCCTCCCTGGAAGATGATGTTTTAGTTTTCTGCAGACAGCTGTGGAAGGCTGCAAACACAGCTCCCTCTGTCTCTGACGGGGACAGAAAGAGCTGCTTGTAACCACGCTGCTCCGTAAGGCATCGCGTACTGCACATTCCAGCCACCACGTACCGAGTGTTTCTGATTTGCCTGAAGCTCTCTTTTTGAGAAGCATGCTGAATTCTGCTAAAATCCAATTATTCAAAGGAACTTTTGAAATTAACAGGAGCTGCTGAGAGACAGGTAATCAAACTGCAAGTAGTGAGATACGAATATAAATTCCACTCATAATCCAAGCACTGAAAGCAGAAGTGCAACAGCTGTAAAGCCATTTTTCTTCCAGCGTAACTGTTATGAGAACACTCTTGTGAGTCTGCAAGACCTCAAGTTTGTACTGGGAGACAGAATGTTATTTGTGAGCACCAGCAGAGAAAACAGGCAGAGCAGAATCTCCAGTGAAATCTTAGATTTCTCAATAAAGTCACATAAACTGATAATGTCCACTTTCTAGTGAGAGCCCTTGTTTTGTACAAGCACCTCCCAAACCCTTAAGCTACAGTCCCAAAGTGGGATTTTGCCACACGCTTTGCTGTAGGTAGATTTAAATACACACTGACCTACACCTATGCAGCCTATGACCATTTTGTTTCCTTGTGTGCCTCCTGAAATTGCAAGCCAAGCACGAGCAAGTTCTCATATTGTGCATCTCATCTTGTTGTTTAACGCTAAGCTTACAATTAAAACAGAAATCCCTAGGCAATCAAAATTAACACTGAGCTTCCCAGAAATAATCTGCTTTTACCAAGAGCAAAAGATACTCACAAGCTCCTGTTAGCTGGATTCTCCTTCACTTGCAAGGTTACTTTGTTCTGTATCAGGTTAAGCATGAAAAATGTGCTTTGGCTTTAGAAAATCAGTGCACTCACCTTCAGCATACAACCCTTTGGGATTATCTGGACACGACCTTGACAGATGCCCCATCTCACCACAGATGAAACATTTTGCATATGGAAATGCTCCTGCAAAATCACATACGGTTAATGATCCACACTAAAAGAACTTTATAAAGTCACAGACAAGTGTAAACACACTATAATTAAAATATTATACTATAAACACTGTCTCTTACACTATTAGGCTCATTGTTGTAACACTGTACTCCTTTGAACATGCTAACCTGTCTTCTCAGAACACTCAAATTACTAACCCACAAAGCTTGTATTTCAGTAGCCTGAAAACTCTGACTAAAAAAACACACTTAAAAAAATTACAAATTCCTGAGACATACCAGCAGCTGGATCTACTTTTGCTTTGCAGGTGCTGATGTCATGTTCTGTGGATCCACACCGGTAACAGATCCCCGTACCCATATCTTGACTTTCAAGTACCGCAGGACAATCAGCAACACCGTGGCCAGGTTCTCTACAGTGGAAACACACCTTTGAAAATAAAGATTAATTGTCTGGATTTTCACAGACAGCTCACACAGCAAAACACAGCACGACTAAAGAATTCACTGACTCCTATTACCAGATTGTCACCTATAGCCAGCAGACTTTCACTAGACCGCTGCTTCTCTCGGCTGAGACCTTGAGGGTACTATCAGAGAGGTATCTCTGGTGCTGAGATCTGGGGTTACTCTAACATATAAAAACAAGATACTGAGAATGGCACTCAAAGACCTGAAAAAAGACCTGAAAATCCCAGCCTGGTAAGGCCTTCCATCTTTTTAAAAAGGGAATCAAGATATTTTCTCCCCAGGGAAAAACAGACAGACAAAAGAGGCACTGCACCCTGTCACAAAATAACTGTCGGTGGCCTACACCACTAATCACGCTATAATTACGTTTCTCCTTTCGCCAACACCACACTGTGCAGGGCATTCACTCTCTGACAACCACGTGCCCTGGATGAATGATGATATGTGATTCTGACAGTCCCCCAAGCTCTTTTGGTATTACTGCAGTAAGTGCTAAAGTAAATATAACCAACGTTACACCAGTCCAAAAACTCACTCAGGAAGAACCTGGATATCTCAGAGTAAAGAGAGTCTACTACTAATTAGTATGTTCCCAGATTACATTCAGCATAAGTTTATACTAAATGCACAAATTTGCACTCAGGTAACTGCTTTTAGACAGTTCATAAAGAGTCTGCTGGAGATCTGACTCCGATTCTCAAGCAGAAGACACTGCAGAAAGAGGCTGTGAAACAGCACGAACACAGAACTGATGAATTACCGACAGAGCTGCACTGACTTGGTTTCAACCAGGAGACAAGAGGGGCTGGGAATTCACCAAAGGGCAGCAAGAACTGCGTTTAACCAGGGGAGCCATACTAAAGGCTAAGACTGAAGCTGAAATTCACTGTTTGTTTCAAAGTTGAGATAGTTCCAAGTTCACTTTGTCAGCCTGAAATGTCGCTTAGCACACGCGATGTTCCTGGCAGGGAAGGCACTCGGCCTCCTGGCTGAATCACCTCCTGTCAGCATCAGCGGAGAGTAATAAAGAAATAAGGAGAAAAGTAACCATAATAGTACGGTTTAATGGGGTAGACCACTGACAGTTATTTGTGACAGAGTACAGGGCCTCTTCTGTCCAGCTGTTTTTCCCTAAGGGGAAAATGCTTTGATACGTTTGCCTTCTGAAAAGCTGGAAGGCTTTATTAGACTGTGTTTTTCAGGTCTTTGAGTGCCATTCACAGTACCTTGTCTTTATACATCAGAGCAACCTCAGATCTCAGCACCAGAGATTGTGTCCAACAGGACCCTCCAGGTCTCACCCAAGGTGTCTACGTTTCCCACAGAGCTTTTCCCAAGCTTTAACAAGGCAATAAGCAAACACACAACTCAAGGCCGAACTCACCATGGCATTTTTCTTCTTTTCTTGCCTCCTCAGCCTCCTGTCCTCCCGTCGCCTGTCCTTCTTTAAGGCTCTGGCCACCTCCCTCTCCAGCTCCGCGCTCTCCGCCTCGGCCACCCCGCCGCCCCGCGAGCTCTGCCTCAGGTACGCGGCGAACCCGTTCACGTCCTCGTTCGGATAATCCTTTTTCTTTCTGTTCTTCTTCTTCCTCTTCTCCTGCTCCTTCTTCAGGGCGGGAGGGCCCGGGGGGGGCCGAGCCCCGCTC